TCTAGTCTATAATACTGAAAACTCAAATAACATAAAATAAATAAAGAAAAGAAATGAAAATAGCAAACTTCTGACTCAAGAGATGGATCATTCAATTATTTCACTGATCATAGGTATCTAAAAGTATTCCTGCAATTCGAGCCTTCAAGTTAAGACATACCAAGATAGCCGTAGTAAATCTATAATCTCTCTAAATTCATTGACCAAACCTAGCATTTAATCAACACTTATCATAAATCGCTGGGCACGATAGCGTTCCATACAAATAAATGACAGCAATAAATCCTATGGAAATATACTTGAAACACAACATAAATCATTGAGATAGCTGCAATAATTTAAATTATGATTCGTTAATCCTATTACCAAGCATACAAGAGCATCCAAAGTCTCACTAATGCATAAGATCCGCCTAGTTGCTACTAAATTCCAATAGTTCGTGTCAATTACATAACATACAACCAAAGAATAGAAAATCAAAGAAAATACACAACCAAGTTGTCAATTTAATTGGTATTCACTTTTATAAATTTAAACAAGAATCAACAAACTACTCAAACCGTAGACAAGAATTAAATCCAAGAACAAAACCTCACAAGTGAAACAACTGAATTAAATCCCTTGAATCAGAAAAGAAAATTTAGCCACTTATAGTTGGAAGTATGACGCCTTGATTCTCCATGGAAAACAATGAAAATTCGGGAAAAACAAGAGGTGGGAGGTGCTAGCCTTGCCTCACGTACGGCTGCCCTAAAAATACTAAAAGTATATTTATATGGGAAATTTAGGTCAGCCGCTGGAAAAGAAGAATTAGTCCACGATTTGCATCTTTGGTCCCTCAAGTTTTTAGTATTTTTACTTTTGCCCCAAAACTTCTTCAATTTTGTAAACAGGTCCTTAGACGTCCAAATTAGCCCAAATCAGCTTCAGTCTCTTATTTCCAGCTCCTAACATGAAATAATAACAAAAATAATGTATTAAATCCATCCGAGTCCATAAACTAATAAAATATCAACAATTAAAACACAACTTATGGACTCTATCAAATTTTCAATTTCATCCCTTCTGTGATAAGCTGCAAATCATTTCTTTGAGTTTTGCTAATGATTTGATGATTTTCAGTGGAGCTGATACCAAGACAGTTACAATGATTAAGGATACTTTGAATCATTTTGCTAGTACCACAGGCTTGCAGGTGAATGTAGATAAGTCTGATTTATACTTTGGCGGTAAGACTGAAGATGTATAGGAAAGGATCAAAAGCATTATGGAATATAAGCAAGGAGTATTTCCAATGAAATATCTTGGAAGGCCTATATCACCAAGTGCTTGGAACAAGGGGTACTGTCAACTATTAGTTTAAAAGGTCACAACTAGAATCAAGTGCTGGACCTCCAGAAATCTCTCATATGCTAGTAGAACAGTGTTAATAAACTCAGTTTTGATAAGCCTGCATAGCTATTGGGCTACCATATTCCTTATACCATAGAGTGTTATGCAGCAGATAGTGAAATGTTGTAGAGAATTTTTGTTGGGGTTCGATAGCTTGGAATGATGTATGTAGGAAAAAGGCAAAAAGGAGGAATTAATATCAAATAGCCTGGAACATGGAATAAGGCTCTGATGGGAAAATTTTTTTCCTGTCATCTGATATATCTCTTCTTCTTTTCCTATGGCCAGCGATCAGCCACCGGCCATAGGCTAAACACAACCAAAACAACCTCCCAACGACCTTCCTTTGCTCAAATTCTAGGATCTAATTCAAATAAAAAACCACACATAGCCAATCATCAAAAAATCGAGCCCTACCTGCACCCGTCATTCATTCAGAAACAACTTTCTTCAAAGGAGAGCCGACTTTTCTTCTAACAAAAAAAGAAGATAAATGATTGGCATCCCCCTTTCAACTTGCCCTTGTAGGTAATTTTACCAAAGGCGACCAACAATGAATTAATTGCGGAGAAAATTCCAAGCTATTGAATTCAAGGGAAGTTTCTCACTAGGAATGATCGATTACCGACATGTCCTCATCTGTTCCGACCTTGAGAAAGACTATCATCACTGCTGGTTAAAAGGTTTATGGACCTTTGACAAGCACTGGATGCGAATCCTCAAATGGACTAAAGACTTCAATCCAGCGCATGAAAGCTTCATAGTCCCAATCTGGATTTCTTTCAAAGGTCTCCCCACCCATCGTTTTAATGAGAGATACTTGTGAAAGGTTGCTAGTATCATCAGAAACTCCCTTCAAATTGACGTCCCAACCCTTAATATGTCGAGACCTTTGGTGGCTCGGGTTTGTGTCGAGATAGACCTTCTTAAGGATCATCCCATCCGAATCCGAATGGATGTAGAAAGGAAATCTTATTTTCAATTAGCTTTACATGAATATGCCCCTATATTGTGTTGATTGTAAGAAGATTGGGCATGATCTCAATTCTTATCGACACCATAAGGCAGCAACAACGCACCAAATGTTGGATTCATTACATTCCACAAAACAACAACTAGACAAGCAATCAACCAAGGCCACAGTGCCGCCAATCTCGGGGTTATCAGAGGGGGACAAAGATATGGAGATTCAATATGCTGACAAGGAAAATTCACTTGAATAAAGAGGCTCGAAAGAGAATGTTCATCCTGCAAATGGAGTTGCAAGCCATTGCAGTGGATGGTTCGATGGCTGAAGTTGCGCCTCTAATTCAATGAGCCTCTGCTAATCAGCGGTCTGTTGAAGTCACTGCTACTGAATCATCATCGCCCGCTTCACACCAAACCCTAGCTGCACATCAACCCCTCGCGGCCAACATCGCGTCCCCTGATGTTGCTGTTGCAACAGAGAATCATCACTTTCCTGCAGTTCCGAATGTTGTTGCCGGCTGTGAAGGAACAACTGCATCACCGGAAGAGAAAATCCGACATGAATCACCAGTGGAAATTCCCTCGACTTCGTGGCGCAACAGAACCCCGTGGCTTTTGCGACTTCAGCGCGATCAGCACTCTCTGACCCAGAATTCTTAATTTTGAAAAAGGATAAGGCCCGTAATTCTCTCTCAAAATTTGATCCGGGAGTATCAGTTTCAAAAGAAGAAAAGTTGAAGTCAAACACTCCGCAATCCTCTCCCTCAGATAAGGAAGAAATTTTTTCTAAAATTTTTTTCTACAAATAAATTAAATCCCACTGCACTGGAATTTTCCCATTCCTCTCGATCACAAATACCGCTCCACCAAGTATTACTCCCTCTTTCAGCTCCGGAAAGAACACAATATTTATCCAAAGATGATACGGAGGTAGGAAAGATTATTAACAATTTTTTTTCCAAAAAAAAAAAGGCTCTGATGGGAAAACAGATTTGGCATTTGGCAGAGCGAAAAGAGAGTATTTGGTTGAAGTGGATGCACATATATTACCTAAAAGGGAAGAGTGTTTGGGACTACCATGCACCGAAGGATTGCAGTTGGCATTGGAAGAAACTGCTGAGCGTGAGCGATCACATTAAAAATGGTATACAGGATGGCAAATGGATACAAAATGTGGCAAAGAAGTATACAACACAAAGTGGATACCAGTTGATGAGGGGAGTAGGAGTTAAAAGTAAAGAATCAGGCATTGTTTGGAGTTCTTACTCAATGCCAAAACATTGTTTCATCAGTTGGATTGCAAGGAAAGGAAGATTGCTGACACTTGATAGATTGCTGAGAATGAATGTTCATATGATTGATCAAACTTGCTATTTATGTGAAGAAAAGGAAGAAACCAGCAAGCACTTATTCTTCAACTGCAAGTATTCTGTGGAAGTAATGACAGGCATTCAACAATGGCTGGGATTAAAAACAAGCATCAATGCCTTATGTGTCTCAAGACTGAAGAGAATATGGAAATATAGGAATGCAAGGAGGAAGACCTTTTATGGATGTATCAATGCAGTGCTATATCATGTGTGGATGGAGAGGAATGCAAGGAGATTCAATGGTGTGACTTAGGCAGCTAGAAGCAAAGTTTGTAAAATCCAAAAGGAGGTTACAAGGAGGATAGGATATAATTGTAGGAGAGGTAATAATAATGATATAAGGTTCTTTCATAAGCTAGGAATTCATCCGACTTTGATGAAGGATATTATTACTAACCAACTCGCCAATAAACTTCCTACCACCCCAACGACCTTCTTTTCCACAAATTTTAGGATCTATTTCAAATCCAAAGACCATACAAAACCAGTCATCAAAAAATCAAGCTTTAGCACCACTTATAATTCATTCAGAACCAACTTTCTTTAAAGGAGCGCCGACTTTCTTCTAACAAAAGAAGAAAATGAACAATTGGCAGCCCCCTTTCAACTCGCCCTTGAAGGACAATTTACCAAAGGTAGGCAAAAAATGGACTATCTACGGAGAGAATTTGAAACTATTGGGTTCAAGGGAAGTTTCTCACTAGGAATGATCGATCACCGACATGTTCTGTTTTGACCTTGAGGAAGATTATCATCATTGCTTTTATGGACCTTTGACAAGCACCGGATGCGAGTTCTTAAATGGACCACGGATTTCAATCCTTTGCATGAGAGCTCCACAGTTCCGGTTTGGATTTCTTTTGAAGGTCTGCCCATCCATCGCTTTCACAAGGACTATTTGTGGAAGCATGCTAGCATCATCGGAACACTTCTCTAAATTGCCATCCGAACTCTTAATATGTCACATCCTTAGGTGTCACGGGTTTGTGTCGAAATCGATCTTCTCAAGGATCATCCAATCCGAATCCAATTGGGAGGCGAAGGGAAATCTTATTTTCAATCTATTCTTTATGAGAATATGCCCCAATATTGTGTCGACTGTAAAAAAATCGGTCATAATATTCTTTCATGTTGTCACAATAAAAATGTAGCATCATTTATAAGGTGGATCCGCTACATTCTCCAAAGCTCCACTCCAATCGGCAAGAACAAGGAAAGCAAGCGTTGCAGCCACTGGCAAAATTACCTTTTGAGCAAGATAAAGCATTAATGGAACAGTCACCATCCGCGCTGAACAAGGGTAGCGAACAAGGGCAACATCAACCCACAAACGTGTCGAACAATGGCATCGAACAAGGGCAACATCAACCCACATCGGCAGCAAACAAGGGCAGCGAACACCATGAATCTCATAGCTCTGAGGTTCAAGTTCTAATGCTGGATTCTCATCCCACAAAACAGCAAACGAAGCAGGAAACAAAGGAAAATCCATCAGCAGCAGCGCTGATCAAGCGCTGGCATCAGTGGAACCTTAAAGGAATGATGTTGCGTCGCCGCTATCAGTAGTCGCTGTTGGCGAGAAGCAACTATCCATTTCGGATCAAGCTCCTCCAATGGACGTTGTTCATCGATCAACAATGGAGGAAGGTTTCCGGCATCAAGCGACGGGCAGAATCCCAAGTCAGCGCTCCTGAGCCAATCGAATTCCGAATTTCCAAATTCGAATGCGGAAAGGACGCAATCTACTCCAGAAAATTCTTCTGATTTTGATTCTTTAAATTCAAATTCAAATCCCAGTTTGTCTGCCGCACCTAACGTGTCTTTAATGCCTCGCGCTTCTCTCTCAGTTACACATGAAGAAGAGTTGAAGTTGAAGTCAATCACCTCACAAGCTGATCCGCAACTGCGTCACGCGTCAACCGCTGATATTGCGCAGTCAATGCCAAATTTAAACATGGTAAATTCTACTGCAGATATTCTACCGCAACATCCTATTTTAAACGTAGTGAATTCTAACTCAAATTCACCTCTACCGCACCCCTCTCCCTCAAAATCTGAAGACATGTTCCCTCAAAATAACTCAGCCACCAGCTCCACACAAAAACTGAATCCCGCTACAGCCGAATTTAATTACTCTCCTCGACCACAAGTTCCTCTTCTACAAGTTCTACTCCCTATTGCAGTCCCGGATCACAAACATTATTCAAAGGATGACACGGAGATAGGGGAGCATATAGAGTCGTCAGGAACAGGTTTCTCAATTGATCACATTCATTCCGAGGGTGAACAAAATCAAATTTATAAGGATTCGGAAGATGAAGAATTTGACATGGAACGGGCATTGGAACGAGAATCTTTTTATAGTGAAATTTCTACTCCGACATATCATAATAATTCGAAAAAAGCAAGGCTAAATCAAAAGTTAAAGTTCGTCAATCGGCTAGATTAAATAAGGATGCAAAACTTACTTTAATTTTAAAATTGTACTTGATATAGGATTTCGCTACCCTATTTTTTTTATTATTAATAAAATAGTTTTTCTTAAAAAAGAAAAAGCTAGGAATTCATCCTAAGCTTAAACTGGGCCAGCTAGTTGTACATTTGGCCAAGTTCAAGATGAAATAAAAGTTTGCATTTAACCAAAAAAAAAATAATAATATTCTTATCTTATAATTCAAACAAAAAAAAATCAATAGTATTAACATTGTCCCCATGCATGAGATAAAAGTCAGTTTTTTTTTTTAAAAAAAAAATTTACAAGTTGGTGTCTAAATACGCTGTCTAGATTAATCTCATCGAAGTGGGATAAGTTTCTCTCAGAAGACAAAACTCTTCTCATAAATAATTTTATCACACTTAGATGTGCATGCGGTGATAAAGTTGATTTTTACTCAGCCACAGAGATTAGTATCATTCATGTATATGTAATGTAAGACGCGTGGTGGCTTGTTGAGAAGACAGTTGGTTGCAGGGCATTAATTCGTGCTGAACTAATTCCCCTTTGAACCTCATGGAAGCCATCGATGCAAATTGATTGCAAGAACTTCTTCACCCTCTACAAATTTCTCCACTTTATTACATCTATTGGGTCACAATATCCCATCGGAGTTTTCATAACTTCAGAGCTTGATTAGCTTTAACATTTGTTAGCTAAAACTGCATCTTGAGGATACCTTAAAAATTTGATGTACATTTCACAGCTCAGAGAATGAGGTTGTGGATACGTAGTGGTTCGGATCCACCAGGGCTATTTCCGGCTCCATTATATTTATTTGAGCTTCTTGAGAGTATGTATATTTTCTTCCATCCCATTTTTAGAATTAGAACCTTTCTTTTATGTTATCGGGGATTTGTTCCGGTACATTATAAACACTATATTTTTCAGCCTTTGAAACATGCAACGGATTTGACATCTTTTCTAGTCATGGAAAGGATCTTGAATTGGAGAAGTGGGTACAAAATATTCAAGCTTTCTACAATTCCTTGGTAAAATGTAAGTTACATTTGTTAATTCTCTCTCTTTCTCTCTCTCTCTCTCTCTCTCTATACATGTATATAAGTTGGTTTATAAAATAGAAGTAGCTAGACACTAAGATAAAGAACTAAGCTTAATATAATAAAGCATGAAAGGTTTAATGTAACGAACTGATGACATGGGTGACACAGTTCTCTCGTCTCTCTTCTCTATCTCTCTCTTCTTTTTTTTTTTTTGGTAATTTAACGTTTTTTTTCCCTAAAAAAAACTTTTCACGCAATGCATTAATGTTACTTTTACGTAGTCTCTATAATTTTGATAGGTTTAATGTTTGATTGTGGAGGTGATTTAGTAAGGTGAGTAGTAAGCCGCAAAGGCACTAAAGCTTTCGACATATAAACAACATCAAAGAGGGCCGAACAGAAAAGCTGGTGGCTACAAATGATATTTATTTACGCCGGAAACAAAGTAACAGAACGGCATGGTCTTCGGTGGAAGATATTTACACCAACAAAATTTTAGTGATAGGAAGGAATACAGTTATACACTTATACTCGTAAAATTGTTTTGATATTTATTTTTTCTTCTCTAGAGAAGAAACAATTTTTATCTTCTCAAGAGTGGCCTCTCTGCCAAGTGCAATAAAGTTCACCTTTAATTTAACTCCGGATCACTGGCCTCTGGCAAGTGCACAGTGTTTTAAAATCTGTAATTCACTGACGAAGGACAAGGGTGGTGTAATGGTGTTAAAAATATTGGAGGGTCGAGACGACAGAGTTGGTAGGAGTTCGTAATGGTTAATTATTGTTCAATAAATTCCCCTCCCTCCATCCTCCACAGCTGGGAATCCCACCCCACAGTCTCTATATAATATTACTATCGGGTTTTCTTACATCTTCACTCCACAATCCACTTGAATCTTCTCACCTCACTTCCTAATCCTAAACTTTTTTTTTATTTGAGGGTAAAGTTTTGGTGAATAAATTGAGTTTGAGGATATTTAAGAGGTCCAAATCTTTCACATCTGTTCCTATTGCTAATTGTGCTTATGTCTTCCATGTCAACACAAAATATAATCCTTTCTTCTTTTCCCTTCTTTTCCAAGGATTTTTGTTCTGCTACTTTATAATCATTTTACTTACATTTTTTCCGGTTGGTCTGCGGCCTCTATTTCAAAGCGTAATGAAATCGGTTCCAAATTTCGTATGGATCTTGAATTGGAGCTTTGCTTCGCTATCGTATTTCAGCTTTCTACAATTCCTCGCTAAAGTGTGAGTTCCATACTAATTTTGTAAATATATTTTGTTTTTTGTTTTGGGGTTTTTTTTTTTCACAAAATAAGGCCAGTACAGATATAGTCAACGTTGAAAAGCTAGTTATATATTGTGTTGATACTTACGAGTAGGCCATCAATGGAATTACTTACCAACGGCTGGCCGTATTAATGAATAAGGGGTGGTTCCAGCTGACTTGACTACTTTGTTAATCAGAAATTTGGTTTTTTTTGTTTTTTTTTCAAGAGTAAAGTATCAGTAAAACATAACCGGTGCAAATTTGGATTGGATTTGAACAAGGAATCCCAACACTTGCGTACTTGTATTTTTATGTTCAAGTTAATTTTTGTCTTATTTCAGCAATTACAACCTAACATGGAGTGGAGCATTGTTGCTATTTTCCTAGCTCAAATGTTTTTTTGATCCTGCCTTATTATTTGATATTCTATGTCTCACCCTTCATTTTGTCTTTCGTTTTATAACTATACTTTTCTATGATATTAAGTTTCCAGTCTCAAGAGAAGTGAAAAACATCTCCTCGTTGCTAGTGACAGCCGGGAGATTTAGGGACAACTTGCTGTCATTATTTTTCAAGAAACGGGACCTAGGGTTCCTATTACGAGAGGGAAAAGAGAATCACAGAGAGGAGCAGAATAGCAAATTTCATACATTTTCATCGTTAACCTTTCAATGACTGGTGCCATTTACTTTTATGCGGGCAGTTACTAACAAATTATTACAAATTGCAGACCAAGTCCTTATACTTTTAATTAGTCCTATCTAAACCCTTATGCCATGCTAACTCTCTGCCACTAATGTAAGTCTTGTTCTCAAGACTTGTACCAGAAAACTCAAACTTAAATAAGGTCATTCCCCTCCCCAAGGATTGGTGTAGCCACAGTCTACCACTTGGACAAAGAGCCTCTTCGACACATATAATGATATTCCCAAATGAAAGCAAAGGAAAATACGGCCAAATTCCTATGTTGCCATGAGCGTTTCCAGGAATGAAACCATGCCTAGGTATCTCCAAGGTTATAGAACAAATGCATATGCATTGGTTGATACTTGAATCCTGAGCAGTTCCTGAGCAGTACCTTCATATTTTGATCACCCTCGAAGGCCAAACACATGCAAGGGTACAAATGATATGACTTAATATAATCTGCTACAGATGGCATCATTTTCATTATGTCATTCATAGGTTCAGCAGATGGCATCAAGGTCCCCTCCTTCTAAATCCAGCTAATGCATTGGATGCTCCCAAGTGAGCTCTCAGTACCGTTCAGTTTCTCCATGGACTGAGATATAGGAGAATGGATACCTCTCTTATGATAATAAAATTCAGCTAACAGTTGCTCACGAAATACAATAGTTCTAAGGAGCAGTCACACAACACAAAACCAAGCAGCTCTTTATTTCCAGATTGTCCATTGTCACAAATAAGAGAGCAATAGGAAGCACCCATAAAGTCTCGGAAGTAAGTAACTATAAATGTCTGACCTGATCGGTTAATGTTTGCGGAACCTTGGAAACTAGTATAAAACGTTGCCTTCGTAACAAATTCTGGCCATTCAAGAATTTTGAACTCAAGATCCATTTGAAAAGAAGCTGCAGCTTGCTTCATTATCTTCACTTTCCACTTCATCATAATATGCCTTTTCACATAAAAATTTTGACATCCACGACATTATCCCTCTTAAGCCTATGATCAGTGACTTGCCCAAGCCATAACTGAGAGCTCCATTTTGCATCCAAAGTTGAACATTCGACCTTCTACTAGTAGTTTTCTTCCCAATTCTGGCCAGAGATTCCACCATCATACTCATTTTTTCCTAATAGCAAATTACCACAGAAATTATGTTGGAGAAATTATAATGCATCTATACATATGTGACATGTCAAATTTCTATTGGATATATTTTGACTGAATAATTCAGTTAAAAATCAATAGCTTAGGATTTTTTTTTATCGGCAATCATACTGAAATCAGTTTCTTGTTTTGTTTTTGCCAACGTGATAATGCTATGCTTCTTTGGTTTGAATCAATCATCACATCGTAAGAGAATATGAGTGCGACACGCAAATTTTTTCAAATCTCAAAAGGGGAGTAAAGGGTCCCCAAGAATCATCCGGAAGATTATCGGGTCAAAAAACTGATTGATACAAGTAACTACTCTTAGAACAAAACAAGAAGTCAAAGGTATAACTTTAAAATCTAAAACTAAAATTTAGCAAGCAAGCTTTTGAAACAATCCCACATGTCTTATCATTAAACTTCATACATTTGCATAAATTTGGCAGTTTTATTGGACTTGCTCTTGTAGAATATTGACGCATCTTCTTTAAATTCGTGTGTTGTAATAATTAAATAAAGAAAATGAAGTAAATTAACACGAACACGTCTGGAGAGCTTCGTCATGTTAAATGACTTGAAATAGACGAGATTAATTAAATTAATACGGAGCACATCCTCACATGATTTTATGGAAATTCAAATCTCTATTCTCTGGGGAAAATAACATATGTAGCAGTTCTCCAAATTTTTACTCTTACTACTCTTTAAAATCATTATTGTAAGAACTCGATTTTATCAAGCAAGTATTCTTTGTTTTAAATTTGATTTTGAAGAATATTTAGCGCAGTTGTGTTCCAGATCTAGTCAAACCGACAATACAACTTTGCAGGTATAACTAACTAGGGGAGTCTTCATCTCCAGATTCAAGACTTAAAGTAGGATAATTTGAAAAAATACATTAAACTAATCCAAGTATCAACATCATTTATGCTGTAAAACTTGATCTGGTCAATATATGCGACGTACGTTATCCGGATCGATCAAAATGATTCCCCTTTACCAATACATATTCTGTACGCCTTCGGCTTCAAATTTTAAATTCACTGTTAACTATTCTTCGAAAGACCGCAAAAAGATCATCGAACTAGGGATGTAGGAGTATTACAGTGCTTCTTTATTTGAGACAAATTAGTTTTGTTTTATTTTTGTTCGTGGGCAATTTGGTCAAGTCTGCATATTGCGTCAAGTCAGTGGGAAATTTGATTTCGTCAAGTCTGCATATTGCGGCCAAGTATACCATGTGGATTCACACACACACACACACATATATATATATATATATATGTTATATTATATATATAAACACTACCATTATATACTACTATAAATAGTCCTCTTCAGGTAACACAAACTTCGTTAATGCGAAGTTGCACGACGCAAATCAACAAAAAAATGGCGATTTCAACTTCAACATTTTTCAGAACCATCCTTTCCCTGTCCCTCTTCCTCTTCGTCTTCTCACTTCCATCTCCGTCGCTCGCCGCAGCCAAGTGCAATGCAAATGACAAAGCTGCCCTTTTACAGATCAAAGCAGCCATGAATAACGCCTACTATCTAGCCTCGTGGGATCCAAACACCGATTGTTGTTCGTGGTACGATGTCACTTGCGACTCCTCCGGCCGTGTAACTAGACTCGAAATTTTTGACGATACAGATGTTACCGGCTCAATCTCTCCGGCTATCGGCAACCTACCTTATCTCAATTTCATAGACATAAACGCCCTCCCAAAGCTGTCCGGAAGTATCCCTTCTAGCATCACCAAGCTCACCCGTCTCACCTTTCTCCGGCTCAAAGGAAACAATCTCTCCGGCCCCATTCCGACCGCCATTGGCAACCTCAACAAGCTTACTTTCTTGGACGTATCGTCTAATTCCTTGAGCGGTTCGATTCCGGCTTCGGCCACTAAGCTAACGAACCTCGATGCGTTTCACTTCGAAAATAATAACCTTTGCGGAGCGATCCCGCAAGGTGGAAAGCTTCAGAGCTTTGGTACGAGTCCTTATGATAATAATAAATGCTTGTGCGGTGCTCCTCTAACTCCTTGCAAGTAAGAGGCTCTTACATTATAATTATTATGCGAGGAAATTGGGAAAATTGTCGCATAAGTTGCAATAAATCTCAATAAACAGCCTCATAGATCAAAGGTTGTAGAGTTTTCATACTCATAAGTTGTACCCCATGTCACTTTTTGTGCAATAAGATGATTACACTTCTGCGTGTAAATTTCCAAAACTCCGAAATAAACCTATCTTTAGCTATATATGGTCTTTGCTGCTCCGATGAAATAAAATTATTGCAGTTTGAAATTAGAACGGACGTTAACTACTAGGTGGCTCCGGCCAAGTCAAGGATTAAAATCAACGAAAAGTATGACTGTTTTTTTTTTTTGACCCGGTAAAAACAAAAAGGTATCACAGTTAAGTCATAAGATTATGAAGTTTATAATCCTTTTTAATAAATTTTTTTTTCATAAAGGATAACAATCATATCAATATTAATACTCTCCCTCCGGTCCTTAATTTAAATAATTTTTTATTTGTCTTTGGTTTCACTTAGTACGTATTTTTAATTGTATAAAAAATTTTAAAAATATATTTCGCATTCCTTGTGTTCTCTTTATTGTTAGAAAAAATTTTAAGATTTTTTTATTCAATTAAAAATGGATACTAAATGAAACTTATAACATATTAAAATATAATGTCTCCTCTTAAGGACCGGAAGGAGGATATTATTAATCCATGGTCATTCTCGGTTGAGAGCGCAGATAATTTTGTCGCCCGTGACGTAGCTTTGTTGGGAAAAACAAATGGGCGGGAGAAATCTTTTGGGATTCGTAGTTTTCGTAGAGGGATGGTGAAACATAAACACATTTTGTAATTGGCTAATTGCAAGTTTGTTAGTAAACACCAGAACCATCTGTTCTCAGATATTATTCGTATTAAAATTCACTCGGACGCCGCAATCAATGAGATTTCTCGGCAAGAACTTTGTAATGATACGTAACCTGCATAGCTGAATAGTCAAAGAGATATTTTTTATTAATGCTTTTTTGAAAACACTAGGTCAATTGAACATACATGTACATAATGCATGACACTAATGCGAACTTACGTTCCTGAAGTTCCCACAGAATTGACGACCTATGTTGTTCAACTAATTAGAAAACGTAAAATAGCCAATTAGGGCACATACATTGTCCGGCTGTGATTGGTTAATTAATTAAAGTACTCCATATCTTGTGTCGTTGTGCGAAAAAAAAAAAATCATCAATAATATATATTAAGAATCAAGTTTGTTTTTACAACAAATAAATCTTGTTTAATTTGTTTACATACCGCCCTGTCCAAAGGACGAATCCAAAATTTCACCAAATATTTGGAGGTGATTCAAAAAATTTGACAAAACCAAATCAGCTGACGAAATGCATACAAGACCTCTGCCAAGTTCAATAAAGTTCACCTATAATTTCACTCACTGGCCTCTCTAGCAAGTGCAATAAAGTTCATCTCTTTAATTTTAATTGATCATCGCCTCTGCCAAGTGCACAATGTTTTAAAATCTGGAATTCAATAACCAAGGACAAGTTTATGAATTGTTGGCATGTTGGTAGAAACAGAATGTGGTAGGAGTTTTGAAGAGTTAATTCTTGTTCAATAAATTTCCCTTCCTCCATCCTCCACATCTGAGAATCCCAACCCACAGGTCTCTATATAATATTTTCGGGTTTCTTACATCTTCACTCAACAATCCACTTGAATCTTTTCACATCACTTCCTAATCTTAAAAGTTTTTTTTTTTAAGGTAAACTTTTTGGCGAGTAATTTGAGTTTGACGATATTTAGTTAGAGGTCCAAATCCTTCAGAGATCTTAGGTTAGGCATCCTGTCTGACAGCTTCTCCAGTCTATTGCTAAGTGTGTTTATGTTCTTCCATGTCAACACAAAATAAAATCTTTTCTTCTTTTCCCTTCTTTTCCAAGGATTTTTTACAACACATTCACTAGCTGAATTGAAATATGTTTTCGTTCTGCTACTTTACAAATCACTTTACTTACATTTTTTCGGTTGGTCTACGGCCGCTGTCGTAATGAAATCGGTTCCAAATTTCATATGGATCCTGAATTGGAGCTTTGCTCCGCTACGGTGTTTCAGCTTTCTACAATTCCTCGCTGTAATGTAAGTTCTATGCATCTTTTTCACAAAATAAAGCCTCTAGTCAACGGTAGAATTACTTACCAACGGCTGGCCGTACGTAGTAATGAATGAGGGATGGTTCCGACTGACTTGCCTACTTTGTTAATCAGAAATTTGTTTATTCTTTCTTTTTTTTTTTTCAAGAGCAAATTATCAGTAAAACATAACCTCTCGAAATTTGGATTGGATCTGAACAAGATATCCCAACACTGCCTTCTTAGATTTTTATGTTCAAGTTGATTTTCGTGTCATTTCAGCAATCACTACCTAATCTGGAGTGGAGCCTTGTTATTATTCCCTGCTGACGTATTCTATGTTTCACTCTTCATTTTAACTTTCGTTTTATAACTACTCCTTTTCTATGATGTTTATAAATTGTTTTCAGTCTCCTGGTAGCCTTCGATCCGTGAGAGATTCTGGGATGACTGGCTATCATTAGGTATGGGCGGCCTCCCGGACCGAAGAAACCCTTGGAGGTATCTCCGGTGGGGTCCCCTGTGGTGCCGTCCTTTGAACACCGTCGGTGCAGATTTGAGGGCTAAATGAGCAGTGCTATCAAAAAGAAGACTTCAGCTTTTTTTTTTTTGCTAAATTGTAAATTGTATTGATCACTTCACAAAACTTCCCTGTACAATGTATAATTACATTAACTATTAAAAGTCAGTTTTAATCTCAACATAAACTGACTCTCACTATTTTTTCATTTCTTCGTCCACAAGCAAAAGAATACTCTCCATTTTATCTCCTGCTAAATTCTACTAAAACAACATTCCACCTCACATTTTACATCTCTGAACTTTCTATAGTTCCTTTCCCTCCAAACATGGTAAACAGTAGCATTAAGTACAACAAATAGCACTCTCTTTTGCAACTTCTTATGCCTCCACAGTTTCAACATTTCCTGCACCATCAGTCTGTCTGGGATGATAGCAATTCCCAGTCAATCTCGCACCTTTTCTAGCAAGCTTTTAGAGTAAGCACACTAAAAATAAAGATGTTCAATGGTTTCACTTGCATTTTCACACAGAACACACCTTATGTCACCAACAACTATATTCAATTGCTGCAATCTCTCTCCAATAGTCAGTTTGTGTTTCCAGGCCAACCAGCTGATAAAGCTGTGTTTGGGTACACTGAATATGTACACAAAACTATCTTAGCTGCATGATCCTTCCTGTGTTCTCCTCTCAATCATGTATAGCCACTACTTGATGTATACTGTTTCCCTCCATTTCCCAGCCTTTTATCATTGCTAATCCCAGATTTCATATCCTCTTTTGCTCTCATCAGCTTCTTCCAGTGCCAACTGCTGTCACGAGGAGCTTTACATTCCCATACTGATCTTCTTTTTATATAGTAAATATGCATCCATTTCACCTATAAACTTTCCTTCTTGTTACTAAGATCCCATAACTGCTTTATGATCAAAGCCTTATTCCAACAACCAGGTTCCTTTATATTCAAACCTCCTTCTGAGTTCTTCTTACACACATCATTCCATGCTATCAGAGACAACTTTCTCCCATCCTCCTTGCTTCCCCAAAGGAACTGTCTACAGACTTTAACTATATCTTGGATCATATTCTGTGGAATTAGGAAAATACTAGCCCAGTAAGAGTTTAAATGCATCAAGACAACATTAATGAGTAAGGACCTGCCTGCATAAGACAAATGCTTAGATGTCCAGCATTTTATCCTTGCAGTAACTTTATCTACCATGCTTTGACATTCCATTTTACTCCATGCAGTTGGTGATATTGGCATCCCAAGATACTTTATAGGAAAGCTTCCTTTCTCAAATCTCAGTATAAATTGGATTTGATTAGCTATAGCATCAGATACTCCTGCCACATAGACATTAGATTTATTGAAATTAACTCTTAGTCCAGTAGTGGCTTCAAAATTCTCCATTATCTTCTTCACTCTTTTCACAGTTGGAATATCAGCACCACACATGATGATTAAATCATCTGCAAAGCTCAAAGAAGTTATTTTCAGTTTATCACAATAAGGATAGAACTGAAATCCTTTCTTGCTTGATTCTATCTTGAATATTCTAGTTAGATACTCTATTACCATGACAAAAACGAGGGGAGACATTGGATCACCTTGCCTCAAACGTCTCTTGCCTTGAAAGAAGCCTGTACTGCAACCATTAATGTTCAAAGAAAAAGATGTTGTTCTGATACACTCTATGATCCAGGCTATCATCTTTGGTGGAAAACCATATTCCTGTAAATCTCCTCAATAAAACACCAGTGTATAGACATAAGCCTTCATGAGATCCACCTTCAACAAGGAACTTGGCTTCACATTTTCCTGTTGTACAATCTTACCAATTCATGTGTAAGTAAAATATTTTGCAAGATAGATCTACCTTTCACAAATGCTCCTTGATTGATGTCAATCAGATCATCAAGAACAAAGCTCAGACTCTAGCAAATCATTTTAGAGATGCACTTGTATACTGTGTTACAACAAGCTATAGGCCGGTATTCAGCTGCATCTTTAGGCACAGCTACTTTAGGAATCAGGGTTACCAGAGTTACATTTAACTACTTCAACATTTTGCCAGTTTTAAAAAATTCCAAAATAGCCTCAGAAACATCTTCTCCTACAATAGACCACATAGCTTTGTGAAATCCACTGTTTAAGCCATCAGGGCCTAAAATCTTGTTAACATCTACACTGAACAATGCTTCTTTCACATCTTCCTTAGTGAACTCCTCAGCCAGGAGAAGTTGCTATTCTATAGACAACTTGATCCCTGTACTGAAAAAATTACTTTGGATTGATGATCTGGTCACATTTGTCCCATGTAGAGATTGAAAATAACTTGATCCCTGTACTGAAAAAATTACTTTGGATTGATGATCTGGTCACATTTGTCCCATATAGAGATTGAAAATAACTTGATCCCTGTACTGAAAAAATTACTTTGGATTGATGATCTGGTCACATTTGTCCCATGTAGAGATTGAAAATACTCCATTCTTCAACCATTACTGCATCTTCAACAAGAATTCCTTGATCATCAGTG